AGTTCATTCTTGACCCTGAAAACAGGAGTTGAGGAAACAGTTTCATCATATTTATAGTGGCACTCCTTGTAAGCTAAAATGAATGTTAGTGAAACGCGGATCTTCTTGAGGCTGGTCAGCGACTTTCACTGTGTTGTATCATGATGATAATGTTGTATTGTTTTACAACTAGGGTTGCAGTGGTATACTGCTTTCACGGTATACTGCTTTCACGGTATACCATCGTATGAAAATTGATGGTTATCTTACCATGCACATTTGCTTATTACTGGTATTATTACTCCCAACTGACTGTCAAACCCCACAACGGGCGCCATATGCGCGCACATGCAGCAGACAAATGGCAGAGAGATGGAGGCTGATGGCCCGTCACCCAACTCCATCCACCGCAAAAGAAATTAAAATCACCAGTGTGGGATTGTTTGGATATCCCAGAAACGAACACCTTCGAGAGCACCATCCCATCCCATAACAGCATATATATAGTATACCATTTTCTGCACGGAGTAGCCTACTTCTGCTTTAAATACATTAAGCACATTTTCGTGCGAGTACTTAACATTGTCGATTGCAGGACATTTACAGTGTGATTTTAGTTCTTTTCCTGAAGGATGTGAAAATAGTTCCTTTACTGCTGGTGCTAACATGCACATCAGTATATACACAAAACTTGAATGAACAAACAAGATGTTCAGCGCCATAAACTTAAGTACTAGATAAAAAAAATCTTAATGGATTGGATAAGATAGTTTCGTTAAATTATTCTTAAAGTCAAGATTAACTTGATGCGAAATACTTCCAATATTGTTTTACAGTAGATCAGAACCCCAAGAACTTAAATCCACTATGGCAGAAAAGCAACACATATTCACATTTGAGAGGTTAGAATATTTTCCATTTTGCTGACAAAACAACTTAACTGGTTATTAAAAGAACTGTATAATAATTTTCTGTCAATTTTCTAACGACTGCTTCAACCAAGAAGACAAAAGGAAGTGTTAAAGGTAAAATACACCTCTAAAAATGGACAGAGACAAGACAGACAACTGACGTAATATCTGGTGTAAGCTTTACTTTCAAATCCTGTTACATTTAGATCTGGCAAGTTGACCATAAAATAATGCCAAACAAAAACAAATACAAAACCAAAAAAGTACAAATTATCTATTTACCAGTTATCGTCACAACCCTGTACAGCCTTAACAATGGAGTAATAAAAAAAAGCTTTGTACAGCACATACCAATCTTTACCAAGTGCCAAAAGATAGAGGATAGTTGAGCCTTTTGTAATCATAAAACACAGCCAAACATCAAATGAACTGATTGTAGACAGTGCAGTGTGATGCAAACTAAACACAATCAAGGGGGTTAATTTTAAATGGTTAAGTGCTAAAGAACTAGAGAGAGGGCAATGTCATGCATACAAGTGCTGAAAAGGTGGTCACTGTGTGGCTTTCAGCGGGGCAACAAACAGAATAAGTGCTTAAGAATTGGTTTTCAAATGGCAGAGCCATGTTGCCTTATTATACATACACTCAGACTAGAGGGGGGGGGGACATTATGAAGTGCAGCCATGATTAGGCTGTCTTAAAAGGCAGACATGTTAAAAAGGTGTCAAGAGCAGACACATTCTTTATCTTTTTTCCTTTTGGACCCTGACAATTAGTTTGACTCATTCTCAGAAGTCTCAGGTGGTTTCCTTCCACCAAGTGGCACTAGAGTATAAAAGATACGTAGATAGACCAAGGATAAAGAGTCTGTGTGTGTTTGGAGGGATGCTCCTTTCACTCTAGAGACAGCATACCAGACATTGACAGGGCAAAAAGGAACAAACAAACAGTATAAAGAGGGAGGCAGTCGAGGACATGACGGATTCAATCCTAGCATCATATCCTGCGGCGAATTACATTTTGGTCTAGACAATTCGTGTTCTATGCCCAATCAACACTTTTTGACATAAGTAGAAAAATTAAAAAGCAAACAAATTATATTCATTATAAGAAAATCCAGGAGTAAAACAGACAAAAGGAAAAAGAGGAAAATAAAAAGTCCCTTTACAAATAAGGGATTTTGGCTTAAATGCCACTTAGAAACAAGCGCAATCAATAACGGATAAAGCTTTTTCAAAATAAAATGCTTGTATTATGCTGCTGTATCTCGCAAAACATACTTTGAGCGTTTAGCGGATAAATACATATTTTCATTATCAAAGTGCAGCACTGTGCAAAACTGGCTATCACAATTTAGCCTGGGACCTTTAGTTTCCAGGGAGAGCTTGACCTCTACTGTCTAATTCATGCAATTTGTATTCATTTACGTTCTCTAATTTCACAGAGGCAGACCCTTTCGCACCGCTAGAAATGCCTAAATGTGAACGTAGGGGGTGTTGATCGGGTCCTTTCCAGCAACTATTGTCTGCTTCACATTATGGTGACAGGGTAGATGTAAGTTTGCACTTAAAAAGCAAAATAAAAGGTTCAAGTGCAGTTGGCTTGAAGTGTAACTACATTAAGTGCAATTAAAATGTTTACAAGAGGGGGGAGGTGGGTGGCGGGGGGGAATAAAAAGCAGTACCGTGCCTGCTGGCCTAATAGAAGCCAGTGCCATTGAACGTAACGCTGTACAAGAGAATGGCTTTGCTTCATCATTGCACGCACAGGAGCTTTTTCTCACAATGCGTTCTCTAAGAATGTTAGTAGAAAATGTTTTATTATGATTTAAAAGGCTCAGTAAAAAAAGTAAAAATAAAATAAAGAAAAACAAAGAGACAGAAGGCCACCGAACATATTAACTTTCCAATCTTTACCGGCAGAGAGGACGTCCCTGCTCACACGTCTGTAGCACTTCTTTTTCATGTACATAAACAAAAATACATTCATTCAAGTCATTTTGGAACAGTTTTTTTCCTTTTTTTTTATACACAAAAATTACAAAAAGCTCCAAAAAGCACCATTGAATCGGCCTGTGGTGACCTTAGCTGTGGGTAGCTCGCTAACCCAGAGCTGGTCACCTCCACAAAAGTTATCTCATATATCTCTTCTAAGTATAGGTGCGTGATACATAGGTCTGCATATAATGCTGCGCTGATATCTGCCTGGTCTCAGAAATAATGAACAGCTCTGTCTAGTCACACATTCGCCGTCTGTAGGATTTCACTGCTTATTCACCTGTGAGTTGAAGTGCACTGTCAACATTTTGAATTCATGTAGTCAAATGTTTGGTAATGGCGTGCCATAGTAGTGAGTCGTAAAACCGGAAATTGAGCATTTTTGCACTTGTGGTTCCCTCATCCTGAACTCAGTGGGTTTTTTTTTTTTTTAAATAAGGTCTGTGGTTAACACAAGGCCAATACATTTTCATGCTTTGTTCTATGATATAAAATACATTAGTAAATACCGCACTCAAGATTTTTAATGCTTTTATGTGTCTTAAGAAAGGCGGTTGCTAACAAGTGGCTAAATGAGACTACAGATTAAATGTCATTACATCAAATGGAGTTTCATCTACTCACTAGCACAAAAGTAAATCCCTGCCATAACGTTTGAGGGCGCACAAACCACATTTTGAGCGCTACTCAGCATGTGGGAGCACGTGGGCACACGTTTTAAATGCAGAATCTGATTTGAAAGCGTAATCCTGGCCTTATTCGTGTCAGATTTTAAAGTTTTGAAAGTGCACAAAATTTGCTATTCAGTTTGCAAGTCAGAATTCAAAATGCAATTTTGTAAGAGTAGAAGATCCCGTTGCTCTCTCAGATCAGATTCTGCTATTACAAATCCATGCCTGCATGCTCTTAAATTCAGATTTTACAAACTCGATAGCACTTGAAATTTGTTTTGTGCACTTTCAAAACTTTTGGCACCAAAACCCGCTGGAAACATCTGACAGCGCAGACTCAGAGATGAGCGCACATACGTCCAAGATTATGCTTAAAATCATTGTGGCGTTTGGAGCTTTTTACTTCTGGCGATTGTATTCGGGCTTCAGAAAAGTGGTGTTCTCTTGTGATTATCTTGCCAAACAAAAGTTTTTCGCAGTGTCATAAATCGTTGTTTGCCACAGAGCTTATTTTCTGCAATAATCTAAAAGCCTATGGAAAAATCCCATTGCTTTTTTGTCGAGGGAACCAGGGTGATGCTGACTTCCGGGATGGCCTACAAAAAATGTCATCCCTACGACACTCTGTAAATGTGTCCATCTGACAGGTCATACTGAACACTTCCCATATTTATATTAGCACAGCTTATCTTCTGAGCTTAATAATAAAAAAAAGCTAGTAATCTATTTAAATAATTGTTCTGAAACAGATAAGATACCAGGCAGCAGCTATGCATATTATGGTTTCACCATTATACAAAAAAAAGGGAAGGGTAGGGCTACAAAACTATGTACAAGATTGATAAATAAGTAAGTGCGTGGTTTGAGGCGTTGCTTTGGAAACGTGCCTTATTCAATGAAAAGCGTTCTCTTTCACTCTTTCATTGGTTCTGTCCACGTTGCACCGCTAACACTTCAGGATATCTCAAATTTTGCTTCCTAATAACGTCAAAGCTAATTGAAACACAGAAACAGGCATGCTATTTTGATGCATAATAGCAATAGACAAAAATGCACTAAAATATAGCACTTGCAAGTTTTGTTTCATCTTTTGCAACTTTTTATCTCATCAAACAACTAAAGAAAAATATCTATAAAACTGAGATACGTTAGTTAATGCAACTGGGTCCAGGTCATTCAGATGTTTAAAAACTAAAGGTAATAGAGAGTAGTAGTTGAAGTAGTAATAATTCAATTGATAGAACTGATAAGAAAAGCAGCTTTTTGATATAAATGCATTTTTAGCATGTACAGCTTTTTTCCTCTTATAAATGTTTTTTTCCTTTCTTCAATATGTTTGTCTGGTCCAGCTTATTCTGCTGGTCTGATTGGAAAAGATGTTGCTCCCACTGCAGCT